CAGGAGAGAGGATACACATGGATTGCAAGTCATTGACTGCGAGAGGACAACGGTGATCCCAGCCCCGCCACGTTGTCAATACATCGCCTTATCTTACGTCTGGGGTCCCAACCCGGCGGCACCGCAGCAGAATAATGGGCTTGCGCTGAACAAGCTTCCTCCTGGTCATCCGCGATAGTATAGATGCGACGAGATCTCTGGGCTTTCGATACTTGTGGGTTGACCGATATGTGAGTTGTGATTCATTGTTAATGAGGCTTTCAAACATTGACCGGCTCGACAGTGCATTGACCAAAATGATCAGTCGAAACATGATCAAATTCGACAAATGGACAAGATATACAGCAACTCGCAGCTGGCGTTGATAGCCGCTGCAGGCAGTGACTCCAGCCATGGTCTTCCGGGAATCGGTGACCGCCATCGCGAACCACCGCGAACCACAGCGACAACTCGACATTCCCGGTGGAACGAGATTGGTTCAAATCTTCCCGCACATGTCTCACACAATGCTGAATTCTACATGGGCTACACGGGGATGGACCTTCCAGGAAGGATTCCTCCCAAGGCGCCGGCTCATCTTCACAGACCAACAGGTCGCGTTCTTGTGTAACGAGATGTACTGCGCCGAATCTGTCCGGCAGCCTCTCCAGACGGTGTCTTATACTGGTAACCGACCTTTCTTGGCTATGATACCCAGCGCAACAGGGTCATCGATATTTCCTCCGATCCTGGAGCAGATAGCCACATACAGTACCAGACTTCTCTCCTATGACTCAGATGCCTTGAATGCAATTCTAGGTAGCCTTACCTCTTCGTACAATGACAGGGCGTCTATCTCCCATCTGTGTGGAGTACCAGTCTTGACATGGTTTTCGAGGGACGGATCCAGACACATACAACATATTGGGCTAGAATGGCGCCACGACAATCCGGCACGAAGGAGGCAAGCTTTCCCCAGCTGGTCTTGGGTTGGATGGGAGGGCCCTGTTAATTTCATCGGCGAGAGCACACCTGGCCATGAGTTTGAGGATATCCAGGCCCAGGATGACCAAGGACATCTCTTCAGTCTCCAAAGATGTTCAGTGGCAGAGATGCGTTCCCATGAATCCGGTCGCTCGATGAATTCTACAGGTACCTACCTTTACCTCACTGGAACTGTGGTTGAGCTTAAGTTTGCGACGTTTGACTGGGACGTGACTGATGTAAAGCCCACGACCGAGCTTCGTTACTTCTCACACGTAAAAGGTTGGCGCGAGGAGTCAGAGGTGATTGAGACGTACAGGAAAAGCGGGCTTCATTGTGTCTTTACCCTCTCGAACAACATTACTGCCCTCGCTCCTGTCTTCTTGGATGGAAGTCAACTCCCAGAAGCCAACTGCTTGGGACTTGTCTTACCTGGTTGGGATGGGCCGGGCGAGTTTTGGGGGCATCAGTCCGTCATCATTCTCAACCAGCGGGACGACTTTTACGAGAGAATCGGAATTGTTGTGGCCAGACATGAAATCCCAACAAGCAGGAGGAGGGGATCATCGGGGCCCGCCACGACGACGTACGTGGATGGAGCACATAATGTTTTGGACAAAGTTACGATCAGGGAAGAAGATCATGTTTGGCTGAATAAGGGAGAGGTCAGAACGATCAAACTGGGGTGATGATGACGATATACGATGACCCCAATCTAGACACCAAGAGGCCGTGGGCGTGAGCTGCAGAAAGGTCTCGCTGTGATGAGAGCGCTCTGGAAGTGCAGTGCGAGGCCCCTTCTTCATTGATGCAAAAGAGACTGGAGTGAGTGGTGTTCTTGGAGTCACGGACATCACATTTTCGAAGCGAACGGCATGCTCTATTGCACTTTCTCCTAGCTATGCTCCTGTGATGGATACACGTATAGGTAGTCACGGCCTCTGCCCTCGATGCACCCACTCAACATGCCTGTCGACGTTGTCACTCCTCGTAGTGCCTTTAATAGCCAGTTTGGACCTGCACCCGCCATTATCTCTGAACGGACAAAAGTACCGTTGCACGTATTGTAGGGTCTCTGGGTGCTTCTCCTTGACATGTCGGTCCAGACCGCTCTGCAGTTCAAACCCCTTGGCGGTGCACGCGGGTACAGTGCACTTGTACGGTCGGGTGTGTCTTTTCATGTGCTTACTTCATCATTTTGTCAGCTTGCATCACTCCACACGTGAAACCTTGCTTACGTACTCCAGGTCCCGAGGTCTTGCAAATTGTTTATTAGGACAGTCCGGGCATGAGAGGTTGGTGGTATCTGGTGCAGCTGAAGGTGGTGAACTTTGAGTGCCGTCATTGCTTTCCTGTGATGGTTTGTGTTGGTGCTGTGGGTGTGGTTGATCGTTCTGTGTTGATGATGAAGCTGTTGTCTCTGCCTCGATCTCTTCCTCCTGGTTGGCTCGTCCGTCATCCTGTCCAGCAGGCTTTCTTGCGGGAATCCAATCATATTGTGGTAGGGGACCTTTACCACTCCCTGCCTGGACCCAGCTGGGGTCAACGAACTGGAAATCGAATTCGAGATAGTGTTGAGAATAAAGAAGTTCAGCATGGGTGAGCCCTGATGAGTCGCTACTTGAAATGGAAGACCACTACAGTCAAAATGAGAGAGGATTGATGGGTACAAGCCTGCTGTGATGATCAGATGAGAACTAAGAAGAAAGAAGATAGAGACAAAATGGGACGCAGACCACAGAACAAACGTGGATGGGGATGTGGAATGGTGATAGTAGGGGAATGAGGGAAGGGGGGAAGTAAAGACTGTGGGCGCCGGTAAACCACCAGGGCCGACCGTGAAGAAAAAAAAGAGAGAGAAAGAGAAGAGGTAGAAGAGAGGCAGCACGAGGACATCTTATGCTGTTTTTGCCTGCTGGACAGCAAACAGGCGTTGGAGGCGGCATACAGAGGTTGATTCGGGGAAGGCGCGCCTGATTGGAGGCCCTGCCATGCCAAGGCACTACTGCATGGTATACCTCAAACCGGTCAACCAATGACATGTGCAAGATTCTGGGAGGCATCATTGCACCCCACTTGTGGGGAAGTGGCGCCTCCGAGAGAACAAGATGGAAAGCTGAGAAAACCCCCCGATCAATGCTTCCAGCAGGGGAATTTCAATTGGCATGTTGTGATACCCCATTAGTTGGCCAATCGTGTCTGCAGTTCTTGGGAGGCAGGACCATGTATCTGATCATGACGAACGGATGGCGCCTCCCGGGCCGAGAATAAGCGTGCAGAGTCCTGGATCCGACCAGGTCGCCTGATGGTTCGTGGGAAACCTCAAACAGCGGCATTGCCTGGCCAATCACATGTGTATTTCTTTCGGAGGCATGATGTGTCTCAATGACGTGGTTGGCGCCTGCCGAAAGACAAGGCCGCTTTGCATATCCTGGGAAAACTTGCTGGATAAGCTATCAATCAGCTTGGTATACCTCAAATACGTCTATTGTGCCAGTTAAATCTGTACTGACTGTGGGCACGGGCGATAGCCAATAATACAAGAGAATCAGGCAGATGCTGCCTCCTGAGAGATAAGGCAGCTTGGAGCCGGGGTGGGCTAGTCAGTATTTCGATACTTGTAGTAATGGCTCAGTGAGAAAGAGATGACGCCTCCCAAAAGCTGACCAAGCTTGCAAAATACCAAATTAGCTTCTCTGATAGGCGAACCATCGTGGTATACCTCAACTTTAAGACTGTAGACTCACATGCATAGTCCCTGTAAAACGTGGCGCCATCTGCGACACGAGTTGGTAGATAACACTTGATGGGAGGCTGCGTAGCTCCTTTTTTTGGTGTGGTATACCTCAGACTCGGAGGATGCAGCTCAACATGCATATTTGCAGTGTCTGTAGAGCATCGTAACAAGTCACGAAACAGAGATGCTGCCTCCCAAGCGTTAAGGAGGCGTTACAGTCACATCGACGTCTCGTAGACTCGGTGATGGGGCAATGGCACTCTCGTGTATATTAAGGAAGGTTAGACCACAGCAATGGACATAAAATACCCACAGTCAAGCTCAGTCACTCTAAAGTTCTTCTCTTTCTTCCCCTGTCAGCAGACCATTATCATCTCACACCGTCTTCCTCGTCAAAACAACTTCGCCGCCGCCGGACCCGGTATGAATGCCAGGGCCGGCGGCGGCTCATGAGTGTCGAACCTTGACACGACGATACCAACAGCACATAATGAACGAACGACAGTAGTACCCTCCACAACCCGGACGAGCAATCTTTGACCACACTTACTTAACTCCCCCTTACATGGCCTATATATACAGACATGTCTTGAGGTCATCTTTTCCTAGGCGCGTCAGTGCGATCGTCAGAATGCACGTTGTCAGCATCATCCGGTATGTATTTCTATTCTCTCTCTAACATAAACGCGTGTATCTCTGACCTACATTCTCAGACCACCCACTCGGTGCAGATTCGTTCTGAGTGGTATGAGAAGGATGATCTCCAACAAACTCACAAACTGCCTCCTTACTTCAACCGAAAGACACATATTGGTATGAAATGGTATCTGATAGGGTTGTTGGACGCTGGACGAGCTGCACCACTTCAGACATTGGAATTATCGAGCGAACTTGCGCGCCTCGGAATATGACCTCTGAAGAAGACATGTCTGTATATGGTCATGGATTGTCTCGTCCGGGTTGGGAAGGAGTGTACTACTGTCGTGTCACTCGTCCAGCGTCAGCCACTGCCCTGTAGCCTTACCTAGGTCTAGTTATCAGAATGAGAAATAACCATCAACGGAGCCACACCTGCAAATGTACTCCTGCTCGAGTAACATGGTAGCTTTGGACGTTTAGCTCATGACATTGAACACAACCAGATTTGAAATTACCAAGGTAAATGTAGTAGGTATTGTACCAATGGAATACATGCATCAACTTGCAGAATGTTCATCTCATCTAACCAGCATTTTTATCCAAGTCACAATGTTCTCTCCTATATGGGTTTCAATTGCCCAGACTGCTTCCACCAATCAGAGCCCGATTAGCTCAGCTGGTTAGAGCGTCGTACTAATATGTCCAAATCGGTCATATCTGGTAATGCGAAGGTCAACAGTTCAATCCTGTTATTGGGCAATCAATTTTTTCCCATTCCGACTATTTTTTTCAGTTCTTATCGACACGCGCGCTCTCTATGCTCATCGTCACATGCCCATAACAAGCCAGGACTTGCAAGTGTGGTTTGTCACTGAACTGACATCTTTCGGGTGAGAACTTGCCTAGCATGTCACGGAAGGCATATTAGGGGCCCTTTTTTTTGCCCCGTGATATATCGGCAACTTCCATGATTCGCTGCTGCTACCGCTGATAGTCAAGATACAGATACGCTTCTCAAAAAGCGGTTCATGCGCAGATGTCCAACCTGGTGAGTCGTGAGTCGTACAGAAGTTGCTTAGGATAACGTCTTTGCCCCGGCCTTGGAGGATGCACTCCTTTCGCACGGTTTTGAACCTCCTCCTCAACCAGAAAAACCCGAAGTTGGACCCTTCTCCTGCTTGCATAGAAGGTATCGATGAGGTGCTGGACTCCGAATTCTCTGAGACAGCGGATGTACAACTCGAGCGTCACAGTCTCGAGCCTTGGAAATTTGCTTGGATCGTTTACGTTGTCCGCGAGCGCCATCAAACCGCGGAGGATTGTCGGCCAGAAAACGATACAACCAAAGCGTAGATGTTTTACTGCGGGCGGCAGTCTTGAGAGGAAATCTTGTCCCCCAGGATCTTCAGAACCCAGAAAGACTGGGGGTAAAATCAGTAGCTGCTCTATCTCGAGCTCCTCAAGGGCGGAGAAGCGGGCGAACGAGAGGCCCCTCTTCGTGGGGAGGGTCTTTTCGATGACATTGGCAACACCTGTCCGCCACTGGACCAGCGACTCGTTGAAAACAACGTTGCTGGTGTCGCGGGCGACCACGTCATTGTACTAATTGAACTCTGGCACCCAGCGTTTGTAAGGAGTCCCGGAGTAGCACAGGCGGCGTAAGGTGGCGCCGACATGGCCCAGATGATGATCCGGGTCAAGAACTTCATCATCGTGGTCATGAAAGTACTCCAGATCCTCGAGAACGGGGCAGGAAGAGATGATATTCTTCAGGGTCCTCACACCGATGCCGTCGACCGACAGCTTCTTCAGCCGCGGGAAGGGTACGCCCCACGGTTGAATGCTGTAGTACCACTCGTTTTCCGCCACGGAGTTGCAGCCGCAGTTCGGCGCAATGAGAACTTCCAGCTTAGGTGCGCGTCGGAGCATGGTCTGTATCTGGTATATGTGATGCTGGAGAAGGACTTCTTTGTGTAGCCTGGTGCCGGGACAAACCAGGAACTTTAGGTTCGGTAGACCGTATGGCCAGCCGACAGGTTCGAGCTCATCATCGCTGCCAAATATCCCCAAGTCATGGAGAAAAAGCTGGGTAATGCCCGGAGATATGGCCCTCGCTAGCTTCTGGTGCGGATTGAAGTTCGGATCGTCCTAGCCATCCTCAAGAGCACCAAACGCACTGCAGGCGCTCGCGACGAGGGCTTCAGTTACGGGGGCGCGTAAAAAAAGCGCCCTTACTGATCCGGCAAGGCCAGGCTGCCGGACGATAGTGAGCGTAAAGCGTTTGAGACGTCTTGCGCCGATTGGTCGAGTGTAGTCCCTAGACCTAGTGCTGTCCTCGAACCAATGGAACAAGACGGGCTGCGCGATGCTGCAAAGGCGTCTGTTGCATCGGCTGAGGCAAGAAAGGGCCTTCTGATTTTCAAGACCTGCCATCAATTCCTCTGATGGCGCAGCCACCACGCAATCGAGCTGGCAGTGGAGGCAGAGGCACTCGCAAATCTTTAAAACAAGTTCTGTTGGGAGGACAGGCGAGAAGAAGTTGTCCGACTGTGTGAAATTCCATTCTGGTGGTGCCATCGCGGAAATGATGATCGCAGCCGAGGTAGGATTTGCTCCAAAAACCCAACCCAAAATTTCGTCAATCTCCCGATGACAAGATAAAATAGTCGAAGTGAAGAGATAATGTACTAACAGCAGGGCACAAGTCCCAATGACGAATATGTATGTGGTTGCTTTGGCCGGCAACTTGAAGATATGGGTTGGCAGTTCCAGGTTTGTGTGTTGGGAGGATTGATGCCCCCACCAAGACAATGATGCAAGCAGTGGGTCGCGCCTTCCAACTGCCACCGTTTCATTCTCGGATTGCGTCTAGTCATCTCATCTGGGAGCGGCGACCTCGTGCGGTGTGGGAAATAGCAGCTACAGCTCCAATCTACGTAGGTAATATGTGTCACGCGTCGCCCTCGTTCTTGCACTCGCCTGAAGCTCTGCAAGCTGCTTTCCCAAATATTGAAGAAGCGCTATTGGAGCTTTATTAGCCCACAGGACGATTGACAGACACGGGGAAGACCGACTTGATACCTTAATGATGCGAGCTTTTATCCCCTATCCTCTTGTCACCGAATGTACCGATAAATCCCCTGAAGTTAGGGGCACGCTTCATACCCTGCAGTTCAATATCCGCCACACATCTTAGCAAGTCAAGCGGTGCAGGTCGGTCTCGGTAGTGCGTCCTCGCCGTTGTCTCCACTCTGGGCGATGTCGCCTTAAACTGAGAGGTGGACTCGGCATACTGTGGGGCGTGTCTATCGATACTGTAATGCCATACAAAACCCTAACCCGCGATACATAGCCTCCTCACCGCCCGAT